GGCACTAGAGATCCAGGAATTCAAAATTTCCATGGGTACATGGCCAACCTGCACATGAAACCCTATCTCAAAGCAGACAAACGCCAAAGTGTATAAAATTTTAACAAATTTTGACAAAATATCAGGGAAGCATGGAAACAAAATTTAAAATTCTAAATTCTAATCCCTTCTTTTTTTAAACTTTTTTGTGGCAAGTTTTCATGCATAACTGTTTTGTAAGAATCTATTTGCAAATTTCAGCTTGCATATATGCCAGCAAATAAGAGTGAAGACTGTCGCTTGTTCTTGCTCAAACACTCTTACTACAGATCCTCCCCCATTCCCAGCCTAGTTAGTCTTCAGCATCCATGTTGGTGCAACCCAGTAACCATTGTGTCACTTAGTCATAGGTTGTTATTGTTTTTGATTTTTTGTTTTGTTTTGTGTTTTTGTTTTTTCACTCTTAGGGTTCTTTACTCTTTTGGCCCTTTTGGGGGTCCACAACCCAACACCCAAATACATATACATTGAGACTTACTACTTATAAATGTCTGGTCTTAGCTTTGATTAACTTAAATTATTCCATTTATCTTTTGCCTCTGGGCTTTTACTTTTCTCTTGTTTATGCATATCTTACTTTACCTTTTACTCTATTACTGACTGTGTGGCTGGCCCCTAGCATCCTTCTCTCCTCTTGCCCCTTCGTTGCTCCTTCTCTAAAATTTCTCCTCCTATTTATTCTTTCTGTCTGCCAGCCCTACCTATCCTTTCTCCTGTCTTGCTATTGGACGTTCAACTCTTTATTAAACTATCAGGTGTTTTTGACAGGCAAAGAATCACAGCTTCATAGAGTTAAACAAATGCAGCATAAACAGAAGCAACACATCTTTATATCATTAAATGTTCCACAGCATAAACAAAAGTAACACACACCTTAAAATAATATCACACAACATCACAGTTGCCTTTTGTTCCCAGAATACAGGTCTAGAGAAGTGCAGAGGCCTTTTATTGGAATCTGATCATGTTAGCCACCACAACCGATATTCAGGTCTGTTATGCTGGTCTGAGTGCTGAGAGACAGAGGCATCATAGATGCCTCAGTGACTTTTTCGTTGTTTCATTATGCTGTCTTAAGGACTTAAAATGCAGCATATAGCCTGAATCTCTCATTGCTTAGGTGTGAGGATCTATGCAGCTACTACCTGCAGGAATAAGGGCTGTTCTTAGTTGAAATAGGTATTTGTTTAGTTTTGAAGGAGATAAGCATCATGAAGCCTGTTACTGATAATGTAGTGTGAAAGACACCAAAGTACATGATAATATAATTCAGGGACTACTGGACATGGCTCAGTGGGTGGAATACAGTTCACTTGAGGGAAGTGGTAAGAGATAAGTCTGGAGTGTTAGGTTGGAACACGTAACAGGTCTTAAGGGCAAATTTTAAGGAACTTTGGATTTGCTTCTCTTCAAGAAGGAAATGAAAGGCCTTATACACAGTAGTTATTTAAAGTGGACTTCAGCGGCAAGCATAACTAAGAGTCCGGTAAAATTAGAAACAGATGAATGAGTTGGTGTGGATAATGGACTTTCGGGAGCAGTGACTTCTTTCCCCAATGACGACTTAGATGCCAGAAAAACAGAGAAAGATGCTAAGCCATATTATAGGGAGGTAGGGGTATTGTGATTGTTTAAATGTGTGTTATAGTGATATGTGTGTGTGTTATTTTTATGTCTATGGCAATTTAACCTCACCATAACTACCTTGGTTTAACTGAGTTCATTTGTATACAGTGTTTTTTAAACTCTGAGTTACAGAATGGTTATGTTCTTACAGTGAAAAGACTGATTCTCTCAGAGTGCCTGCGTACTCAAGTTCTCAATGACACTAGTTTGGTGATGTCCTTTGCAGTGTGAGCTACTCCTTGAGTCCAAGTTCATTTCACATGTGTTAGTTCATAAGCATCTGGATTATCATGCTGGCTACCCATTAGCTTTTTATGTGTGTAAAGTCAGACATTGGCTTTCAGTTACCTTTGGTAAAATTCTTGTCTATGTTGCCCAAGGGGAACATTGAAATTCTTTTCAAATGCTTTAAATGGATTGTGATATTACAGAATGATGCTTTTGTCCTACAGAGTGCTGAATCTGACTTAACTTAAAATAACTACTGCGCTGTTTTTCTTTGCTTCATTTGACCTTGTGTAACCTTCAAAAAACTGACTAGGAACAGATTTACAGAAAACAGCTTGAACTTGACTTAGGAATTTTACAGGGGATCATTTTTCTTGTCCTTTTGAAAGCCCTTCTTATTCATGCTTATTATATCTGTGTTCTCTTTACAGCTGGGCCAAATGCATTACATAATGCAAATTCAATTGTAATGGTTTCTAAAAATGCTGCCTTAAATGAAGGGTATGAGAAGGCACACTGTGACTCCACATCTGGTCAACCCAACCAGTACTTCCACTCTGGCTTCCGTATCTACTTCTGTAGACATATGGACTTATTTTTTGTTTTCTTTTTGCCTGTTTATGTATGTAGTATATGTGTATATTCATGCATGTGTATATGAATGCTTGGATATAAGTATATATGCACATGTATAGGTGGAAGCTGGAAACTCATGTTAGTTGTCGTCATGATTGTTCTCCACTATATTTATTGAAGCAGGGTATCTCATTTGACTAAGAGCCTGCTAGCCAGCTATCTTGCTCAAGGATAATGGATGGTCACCATACCTACTATTGCTTTTATGTGGCTTCTGGGAATCCAGACTCTGGTCCTCACACACAGCAAGTGCTCTATGTTCCGAGTCATCTCCTCATCCCAGGAACTATTTTATTTTATATTAAAAGATAGATTTTCTTCCTCAGTCACTGTATTAGATTTATTCTCCTATTACACTGCTCATCGCAGGAAAAGAGACATCAGTAGATCATCTAGATTAGCAGTTCTCAACCTGTGAGTTACAACCCTTTTGGGGTCGCATGACTCTTTCACCTAGGAGCACTGCAAAACATAGATATTTATATTATAATTCATCACAGTTGCAAAATTGCAATCATGAGGTAGCAACAAAAATAAGTTTATGGTTGGGGATCATCAGTACATTAGGAACTGTATTAAAGTGTTGAAATACTAGGAAGGTTGAGAGCCATTGATCTAGATCCTTCGATTGTGGAGAAGTCACACTTGTTAAGGAGCTGACTCTGTCCTGAAAGGCCAGATGATCTGGTGGAAGCACATGGTTGGATACACAGCAGAGGAAACCAAAGTTGAAATAAAACCATTTTTCTAGGCCTTTCAAAGAGTCCCAGGGAATTTGGAATAAAGACCAACCGCCAAACATCTTAAAAGTAACAGAATCCTGGCAGGATGTTCAATATTCCACCCGAAGTCAGCAAGCACAGAGGGCACAGAATGGAAGGGAAGTGAGTGAAATCCTCCAATGGTCTCCTCCACGATGACTGCTTTATCAGTCACTTTAAAGAAGCACAGAAGCTCCGTGAGGTAACAGTAAGGAAGACAGCTTCCTGAGAATATGCGGCTTAGGGGAAGCAGATGTGTCTCCTGTAACATTTTTTTATCTTTCCTATTATGAGGCACACACACACACACACAAATAAATTCTGGACTCCATGTTAACCTTAAACAAGCATAGAATCAAGTCATTTCTAGGTGGTTCATATGAGACTTATTTTAAGATTTCTCATTTTCCAGAAAATGTTTAAAACATAGATCCTGAGCATCCTTTCAACATGAATATCTCCAGTTAAGTTATATTCCTTTCTCTTTGGTCCTTGGGACAGCTTTAGACTCAAAGTGCAATTATTGGGGTTGGAGAGATGGCTGTTTCTGAAATACATGCTATATAAGAAGAGGACTTGACCTCAGATCCCTGGCACTCACAGAAGAACTGGATATGGTAGCACCGGGCAACAGAGACACGAGAACCCTGAAGCTCCTTGGTCAGTGAATCTAGTCAAATCATTGAACCCAGGCCACGTTCAGGAAAAGACCTTGCCTCAAAAAATTGGAGGGAAACTGAGGAACACATCTGATATTGGCCTCTGACCTCCACTCACACACCTGAACACACATGTGCATACACACACACACACACACACACACACACACACACACACACACACACCATACACATTCAAACAATAAATATGGCTCACGGTCTGCAGTTGGCTAGAAAAATCCCTGAGATAATGCCTATCTCCACTTACGAAGCACTGGAATTATAATTGTGCCAACAATTAGTATTCAGGAATCTGTACTGGCCTGCCCTTGGGGTCCTGACAGGATATGCCCTCAGCTGCTGGCACTAAGAGCACCATCTGTGCCTATTCACTATGTTCCCTTTTATGCCTCCACCTCCCCCTTGCTCCTCTTTCCTATCTCCTGATCTCCTGATACTTCTGTCCCAGGAGGCTAGGCTAGTCTCCCCCACTTTTCCCCTTCTTATGACCCCTTTCCCTAATAAAAACACCCTCTGCTTGAACTCTATCATATGGCATCTTTCTCTCTCACTGCTTTTCTTAAGTTAAAGCAATGACTGTATTTTTCATGTGGGTTCTTCAGATTGAACTCGAATCTTCGTACTTGAGTAGCAAGAACTTTACTGACTGACCAATCATCCCAGCCCCTTTCAGTTTTAAAACAGAATATCCAGACAAACTGATAGGTTAGAATGGCAGGAAAGCACTGGCCTTGACGGAGAAAGAATGGGATGCCAGAAGCACTATCTTCCTATAAAGAGGACATTTTTTTTTGTATTCATAGAGCTCAGATGAAGCCAGTGTTGTGTTAACATAAAAGCCCTAAATCCAGAGGCCATCTTAAGTCAAATAGATGAGTCAGGGTTTCATGCCTGGCTGCTCTTAGCTTATATTTGAGGCAAAAACAAACAAAACAAAAAACAAAAAAACTCAAGTAAGTCATTTAAAATTTATGACTGTGAATGGAGGAGAAACTTAATGGTTTTAATAAAATGCACAATAGACAAAAAGAAAGAGATAATGCTAATTTATTGGTTCAGTAAAAATGGAAAGAGGAGAAAGAACAAATACTTTAACTGTAATTATCTTATGAAACATTCCACAAAAGAAGGTGTATTTAAGCACAAGCACATATTTAAAGATTACAATGGGCAAACATGGATTATTTGCATTAAGCATCAGGAATTAAAATGATTGGTTTTTTTTAGTTCTGTGGATTAAATTTGCAGGTATGCTGTCTTGCTAGCACTAACTGAAATAATTTTGTTTCTTCAAAGTGATCACATTACTGGATGATGTCTCCAGAGGGGCCAGGTCTTGATGGAGGACTCCTTGCTGGGCCTCAAAATGAGGCTGTCACTGTTCTGCCCTTCAGGGGCTGGGTTGGACGGTGGTTGGTCAGAATAGGAACAGCCGCCTCTCCCTCTGCATTTGACAGAACACTGCGGAGCTGTGCCAGCTGTGGGGTGAGACATTTAAAGGATGAAAACCTGTTAAAGTCCCAGAAAGCACTTTGTTCCCAGAGAACTTAATGCTCTGTTGCTTAGAAAGCAGTTGAGGATAGTGGCTGTGTTCTTAGTGGGCAGGAAGTGACTGCACTCATTTCCCTGCCTCTGCACAGGTATTTTGCCTAAATGAGGCATAGTTGGCTCTGTCAGAACACTCGTTTTCTCTTTGTTAGCTGAGGAGGTTGTGTAAATGATATGTTATGCCAGCACTCCTTAATTTCATGTAGCTTCTCCTTTGGGAGGCTGTTGTTAAGACTAGATTGGTTAATTCATGCAAAGGGCCCATAGTAGGGCTTGGTGTACAAAGCATCAGTTAACAAGGGGGCACAATGTTATGAGAAACACAAGACAGCACAGGAAAGTAGCTGTTCCATCAGTCAGCATCAGCATATTTAGAAATAATAAGCAAGAAGGCACTTTGTGGCATATTTTAAGACTTTAGCTAGAAAATCTGAAACAATTTGACCAGCTGTTAAGTTAGGTCGAATGAGAGCATGATGAAAGTTCCCAGGAAAGTTCACTGTTTGTTCCAGACATTGGAAGAAACCTCCTAACAAGTGTTGGGTTTTCTTTATGAAGAACAGCAGGGATTCAGAACCTCATGCATTTATTTCTGCATACAGTAAAAATAGTTATTGCATGGGCATTTTTTTTGAAAACTTGGGATCCTTCACTAGAAGCAAATCCTTTAAGTTGGTACCTGCTCAGGGCTGACACTGATGCTCTCCTTGCAGATGAACCAGGTGACACTTTCATGAAGAGGAGGGTGAGTCAGAGAGCCAAAGTAAGTCCAGTAATCCAGGGTTGAAGGAAGGAGACAGGATGGGTCAAAATTTTTGAATGGGGCTTGTTTCCCCTGGGAACAAAAGCAGTATATATTATGCTATAAAATGTATCCATATATCCTCCCTTATATTATACCTAGAGATTTTAGGTGCATTAAAATTTTATACTATACTTGCTTTATGACAGATATGTTTTTGAATATGAACAATAAAAAGACAGAAAAGGTGGATAAGAAGAAAATCCTTAAAACTTTTCTGTAATTTACATTTATCAAAAGACACTTAATATTCATTAGGAAACATTTCAATTTTTTTGGATAATGCTCCATCCTGTTCTAGGGGCAAAGGCCATAATTGCATTTACTGTTACTTATTCCCATGATATATCTAGGATCAATTGTTATTTTATAAAGAAAATGAACTGATATTTGTATGGTAATTGTTTTATGCAACCGGTTTTGCCAGAATTCTATATCAATTTCATTTTTCAGTTGATTCTTTAAACTTTACAGGTAAATACAGTTAACATATCAACACATGATGATAACTTTGTCTTTGCTTTCCCAGTACTTAGCTTTATATTTTGTTCTTTATTGGTTTAATGGTTAAATTTTTAACTATTATGTTAATTGTAATGGTGGTAGACACTGTACTGTTTTTTTTCTTAATTACAGTAGAACAACTTCAGTTGGAGAAGCTGGTGATAAGAATTTTCATATTTAATCTGATCATACAATGCTTCTACTCAAAGATGTTCTGACACTAAGTCATCCACATCTAGAATGAGCTCTACTTGTTTAAAAATATGACTTTATCAACATGCTATTGTAATTGATTTGCTATAATTTAAGTTATTTTAGCCATTCTACTAGGAAAAGTTGTGGTACAACTTTCCTTTTGTAATCCTCTTGATCCAATTTGGATACTACTTTTCTTTAGACTGACAGGAGTTTTCTGTCTGTTCCCTCACCTGGGCAAATGTTTAGTTGATACTGCATGATTGATCCTTTCTCTTTTTCATTCTTTATTATTTTTTACATGTTATGTGTGTGTGATATGTGTGCATATGTATATGTGTGCTCATTCACATTCACATGCAGGCATGTGTGCAAGTGTGTGAAGGACTGAAGTTGGTGGCTGGAGTCTTTTTAGATTGCTCTTTACATTATTTTATATGCAGGGTCTCTCAGTTGAATCCAGAGCTCTCAGCTAAGACTAGTCCAGCTAGGCAGCTGGCTCAATTGATACTCTGTCTCTGTCTTCCAAGCTCTGGAATTACAGGTGAGACACCATACACACCTGGATGTGAGTAGGTCCTGGGAATATAAACTTTGACCATGATATTTGTATGGCAAATGCTTTTTTGTTTATTTGCATGACAAATCTGTTGAGCCATCTACCCCACTTTAAAGGCTGAGTAAATTTTCTTATAAATTGGACTGAGTATGGAATTTTGTTTAATAGACATATTTTATTGTATTTTCAAATTATTCTTAGAGTTTTGGTCTATTTGGTTTTTCTTTTGGTTCATTCTTACAATTTTGTGTTTTCATGAATATCACTTATTTTATCTGAGTTTTCAAATTTATTGATATACTGTTATATTGATTCAGAAATTTTCTTCCACATTTATACTGTATTTTCTAAGCTTTGAATAGAATTTCTTACACTTATTAATAAATTATCTTATGCATCTATCTGTAGGCATATGTAGGTGAATACACATGTGAAGGTCAGGGGACAACCTTCAGGAGGTAGTTCTTTCCTTCTACTGTGTTGGTTCTAGAGGCTCAAGCAATCATCTTTACCTGCTGAGCCATCTTGCCAGTCCCTCTAATAGCATTTGGTATTTGTGCCAGTTTTCCTTTACCAAAGCTGCCCAAATCATTCTTTTTTGCTGCTGTTTATTCAATAGAATAAAATGTTCATTTATTGATAAAATAGGGTTTTGTATTTATCAGTCATCTTACTATTTTCTGCTTTTATCCTCACTATTTCCTTTTAGTTTTATTTTTATATATTTTTGACACTTGGAGTAGAGTTTAATAAATATTCCATCTCTCACTTTACCATATGCTTACTCAAAGTTCTTTTCTGAACTCAGCATAAAACAAACTTATTTTACATAAAAACACAGTAGTTCTTCACACTGTGAAGGAAAATACCAAGCCACTTTGACCTTAAGAAAAAGGAATTAATATTAAAACAGTAGTGTTAAGGATGGGCGTTTCAGAAAAATCCATTAAGGGTTTTGCATTTAGTTCAGATCATATTTCTCAAATAGGGCTCTTCATGTCCATAGTTTTGCATTACTAAAGGAATCAAGATATTCCTTTTCATGAGACTGAAAGTATCACTAGTGCATGATTTAGCAGATCTATAAGTGACTAAATAACCTGTCTAATGAAAGGAACAAGCACCATGAAGACAAATTAAAAATCAACTCTTGCATCAGGCTCTCCAGTGAGAGTAAGCTCTCCATGGCACCTTGTGGCAAGTTGGCTTCTCCACCTGTTTTCCTGTTTCCCATTTCAAACAACTGGATGATTTATGTACTTCTGTTTGTTCTTGTTTTCAGAATTAAATTAGTTTACTTCACTTATTTACCTTAGTTTTAACTGAGTTTAAGGCATCAAGCACTTTCTGCACATTTGGGTTGGCTGGACCAACCTAGCAAATTAAAACAAAAGGAAAGAAAATATGAGTTGATTGTAATTAATAAAATACTCTTTATTCAAAATTTAATTTTTCAATTATCATCAATAACTGAAGAGAAAGATGTGGGATTTCTATCTGTTTCAAGAGACAAAATTTCTGAGGAATGTACTTTTATGGGATCTTATACTCTGCCAATTTCTCATCAGGCACAATAACTGACAAAGTAGTAAACAGAAAATATGTCTTAAATTTAATTGTGAACAAGATGGCCAATGGAATGTAACACAGACTATAGATGTTTACCAAAACAATGACACAAAATTGCACAATCATTTTTATCTGTTACGTTAGTCATACTTGATGCATTTTTGCTATATTTTGAATAAGTGTTTGGTAAAAGTCACCTTCAAATACTGTGATCTCAATAGTTACTTAGTCATTCCATCTTATCCAATTTAATGATGGCTTTCTTCAGAGCATCTCTTCAATGATAATATAAATTTAAATGATAAGAAGTTCACAGTATCTACCATTTTAAAAATCAAGTGACAACTATATAATTAACCATGACTCACCTTCAAAAAAACTCCAATGATTGCCATCCCATCAGTTTTTGTGAAAGCTTCAGTAACACTGGAGTATTTTCCAGAATTCCAATGAACTATGTGAAGCTAGAAGTGGTGGCATGTAATTTATTATTAATATTGATGCAAAGGAAAAGACAGAAGATTAATTACATGTTAATTTGTTATATTTAAAATGTGTTATGGTACAGGTGGATAAAAATCAATGTGAACCCTCATCTTGCAGGCAACTAACTTTAGGATAAAAGATGAAATCATTTTCTCTCACATGACACAATTTTTTAAAGAAGCCCCTTGTCTGCTGGAAAGCTTGGGCACATTGGTGTCCTTCCCAAACCCCCTCAGTCAAATTCTGCAGCCTAATCTCTTGGTGGAATTTTAGATTTGTACATCCACATATGCCCGGATGTGTTCTTGATTCTGTTTTGATATCTCCATGTGAATGTCTAACGGATATCTGTGGAGTCACCTGGCTAGCAGAAAGCTCGATTCTTCATAACACATCTGTCATTTTCTTCTCTCAGGAAAGGTAATACGGGATGCATAATTGCTCAATCAAAAAGTACCACAGTTATTACATATATCGGTTTTACACATTTATCAGCCTTCATGCCTAGCAGAGTATGTACCTCCTCACTTGGTCATAGCTAGGGGGTTTTTGTATTAGTTGCTGACTTCCTGGAATTTCCTTCCTTTGTCTTTACAATTAGGACTGAACTCAAATGCCAAACCTCAGTGAGTTGATTATACAATATAAAGTTGTCACTATAACTCAAATCTATTCTTTTCATGCGTTTATCTGATCTCTTCTTTCTCTCTACCCCATCACTTTCCTTCTTTTACCTCACTTTTAAAAACTTTTTATTTCTCTACAAAGTGTAGATTCTGACTCAGTTATTTTGAAAACTAAAATCTAATATATTTATAAAGGCTCAATAAATAGTTGATAAATAGAGTAACTCAAACACTCATTTTGAGACAGACAGCTCCTCAGTCCTCATTTAAGCTTTGTCTCATCGTCATTTATTCTTCCCGTTCACTGACAATTCTTTGTAAGCACTCACACTGCCATTTAGTACTATTTGTTTAATCCCACAATTGATTCACATGTTATCTCCTCTGCAAAACTAAAGGTAATGTTATTGAGCACTTATGATGTGGAAGCTGGCTTAAGTGTATGAGGAGATTGATGCTAAAGTACCAAACTATAGACGAGAAAAGTTACACAGCTAATAAGAGGCTTAGCTTGACTCCATGGAGATCAAGGGAGGAACTTGCACTTGTCACCCGTTATCTGTACTACCTCTTGAACCTGGTGGTTGCCCTACACAAGTTTTTGGGCTGAATATTAGATAACATGTTGAACTTTTTGACTAGATGTTTTTATCATTGAGTTATGTTATTTTTCTCAATTTAGTTGAGTGAATATAATCCTTGATTTAGATTTCATGAATATTTATAAGCATCCTTCCTAAAACATAATACTTTAGGCTTCCATTCCACTTTAGTCCACCTTCAGTTTTGCAGAGGTGAAACCAGGAATGAGTTTTTATAGTCTTCTGCAGCACTAAAAGGTATTATTTAAACTTTACAATATAAAATAAAACAAGGTATAGCTGTATTCAACCTCCTAGCATGTAATTTTATCACAGTAAACTACATATATTTTATAACCTCTTCTGCGAGAAATCTCTCTTATATAGTTACTTCAATTGGTATTTCAGATACAGGCATAATGTGCTCATTGAAGGATTTTCTGATAAAAACAAAACAACAACAACAAAACTCACAGTGGGAATATAATAAGCAAATACTATAATTATCCATCAATCGGGCTAGCTAAATAAATTCTGATAAATTTATACAATTGAAATACCAAGCAGTTATTTTTAAAAGAGGTGGTATTATACCTTCTGACTTGGAAAGTGATGACAATACATTGATAAGTGGAAAATGCAAGTTTCAAAATCATATGCATTATAAGGTTCATTTTGCCAACTTAAAACTAAAAAGGCCATTTCATCTGTATGGAGCCATACTTATATACACACACTGTGTATTCACACAAGTAGTGAAGAATTTTATCTTGTTTCTTCAAAAGGTGAAATTGTATAGTCTGATGCATGTGTGTCCGGTTTTTAAAGGAAATGTAGATATAATATCTAGGAACAAACCACAAATTTCCCTGGGAGGGAAGATCAAGAGGTGACAGAAAGTGGCCTGTAACCAGAGACTTAAGCTTCCTGAAATCATTAAATCTCAGGTGTGTGATTAAAGTCCAGTGTTTGTGCTGTGTTACTTCAGTGCTCCTGCCTAGATATGCACATGCCATCACTGTGTCCACATTTGAGAAGTTAAGGAGCACAGCGGGATGTCCAGTGCAGTCAAAGAGTTAAAGAATGGTAGAACAATCCTTGAATGGGGCAAGCTCTTAAAGTTTCTCATTAACTCTCACCTACAAGTTCAGGGTTTCTTTCCATAGAAAATTATCCCTCAGGTTGGAGAGGATGGCTCAGCCATTAAAGGCTAGGCTCACAACCAAATATATAAGAAAATGGTCCCTCTACTGCAACATATGATGTGCCAGTGTTAGATTTTAATGGATCTATGTATGTGTCACACAAAGACCAGCAAGCTCTCCTCTTTGAGATATTCTAACAGTAGCTTCTCTAGTACCAGAGCTGTTTCTGGGGTGCGCTCATGAGCTTCTCTCAGTAATATATCCCATTACCTCTCCAGAATATTTGACTCCATCCACAGTATGCTCGGATCCATGGTCGTCTGAGTTGCCCCAGTGAAAATGGAACTGGGTGAGCCGATAGCTATCAGAGAGATGGCCGCCTTTCAGAACTGCAAGGGAGGAGCGGTACGGTCAGACAGGTGATCTCTAGTTCATCTTTGCTATAAATCAATGCTCCATTGTGTTGTGTGAGATAGCAGCAAGCACCAATTGTTGCCAGCATTTTGCTTTCATTGCGTTTCCCCACTACACATCCTGATGATGACACCCTTATGGATAGTGACTTCCCGATTATGGCAGCAGCAGGATAGCTCATAAAATACGCACAAATTCCACCAAAGGAACCACAAGTTTACCTATTTATGCTACCAAGATGATATTTCAAAGTGAATAAGCTATATGATCACAGAGTTTTCCTTGGATTTGAAACTTTCCATTAATTTGAAAGTTTATTTCTTACTGTGTGGATAGTATGCACAATTTATATTAATTAAAAATTCCCCATCACCTGTTTTTTTTTAAATAGCTGTTGAAGACACAGCAATGTAGTTTGACAAATTTGTTGAGACCCTCTGGCAAGGGACCAAAAGATACTGCCTGTGGGGCAAGGCCACTGTAAAAACTTTTGCTCTGAATGACAGCCCATCCTGGGCAGTTTGTCCAATCATATGATTTCTTAAGCAATAAAGACACTAGATGTAACTCAGTGTTAACAAGGGGCACACCCCTAATGTACCTAAAATTTAAAATTAGAAAATTAGAACCTTGTAAGAAAGTAGGGAAAGCATAGTATTTCACATCACCAGAACTCTTACAGAACAATCCCTTAACAACTTATTCAATAAATATTGATGAAAAGCTGACCATGAGGCAAGAAACATGCCAGATTCTCAGGTATGAGGGGAACTCATGCATCACCTGTTTCCTCATTAAGCTCATCCACTGTCATCCCATTTAGAATATCTCCATTTTGGTTTCATGTTCATAATTATTTACTCACTATACTCTTTTGGAGAAAAGTTGCTTCTTCTGAGATATAAGGATAAAAATCCTGGAATGGCCAGAATATGTCAGATGTCTCATTACGAGAAGGGTTGTGAGAAAGCAGAGCTGAGAGCTCTGCAATCCATCTTACAAGTGGACACAATGCCTCCCAGCCATTGGATTTTCAAATACAGAAACAAATGTGCAAAAATGCACAGGATAGAGTGGTGTTTCTGAAACTACTCTGACTCTTTTGACTGATCTCGGAACTTTCTCCTATGGGGTTGCTTTGTCCAGCCTCAGTATGAGTGCCCTTGCCTTGTCTTTCGAATCCTGTTTTGTTGTGTTTGGCTGTTGTATCTAGAGGGCTGCTCTTTTCTGAAGGGAATTGGAGGTACCTCTGGGAGAGATAGGAGGTGGGGGAGGATCTGGAAGGAGTGGGGGGAGGAAAAACTGTGGCTGGGATGCTGAGATGTCTTGTATGAGAGAAGAATCCATTGTCAACAAAAATCCATTTAGTAGATTCTAAGGAAATAAGTATCATAATTGTCTTTGGGCTCACCAGATTGGTTATCACTGTCATCAAAAATCACTTGGAAGGAATGTCCCACGTTAACAATTTCTTTGGCAGTTGCAGGATTATAGGAGACACTGATAGGCTTCAGAGAGTTGTCATGTTTGGCTTCACTGGTTTTAATATCAATAGGAGACTGGTTGTTTCCATTGGCAATGGGATACAGCTTGCTCCATTGGTCAGGACCTGTCGGAACAAACATGTCCATGTAACCACAATTTTACAGAATTCTTCATTCCAAGTATCAGGACGTCACCAATTTGCTTATTAGATTATGGTTTATCCAGGTGTATTAAATGGCATTCAGTGCTTGAAAATTATCTTTCATTACTATAGTAATAAACAGTATATCTAGCAATAGAAACAATTCAGGCCTAATTATACTGTCTGTACAATTATAGTATAGAAATAGTATGTATAAACTAAATACATTTTGTAGATCTACATACCCAAAGACCAGCTACTAAAAATACATAAAAGGATATTGTAATTATTCAAAAATGACTCAAACCATTTACCTGTTACTATACAGTTAAGTTAAGTGATTAGTAAACTCAATATTAGAAATAGGAATAAGCTGCTATTTAGATACATGTAAAAGAAATACTCTTACCATTTTTGCCATCATATCCCCAGTTTGCACTTGCCATGATATTCTATTTAGTTTTTGTTTCTGAAAAGAGAAATGATACGTGGAATAACCAACTGCACTTGCCTCTGCAGCAGAGATCTTAAGCAGCACCATCGGTTTTTATAGAAACTTGTCTGCCTGTAATAGCACACTGTTTCATCATCTCTGCTTATCAGGAAGTATACATATAAAAATAAATGGTATTGTAAAAATGTATCTATGGGGTTAGGTTAGCCCTGATTGTTTTATTTTATTGTAATATAAAAATGAAATAATCAAAATCATAGATGTTATTAAACTAGTCTTGTTCTTCTATGTTTGTGGAAGACATGAATGAATATTAACTGAAGCTTATGAATTTTCTAGAATAAAAAGTACCTTGTGCACTTACGATTTCTAGTAAGTTTACAGATGGATAACTAAACAATGTTAGTAACAATAATTTAATAAGGAAATAAATTTGCATGGTTATGGACTGAACTGAATGAGTCTCATAGTGTTAATTTAGAATCAGGTAATAGAATCAGTGATTAATTATTAGTAACATAATATTATTCTTAATGACACCTTTTATAGAAACACAAATATATTTTATAGATAAATTCCAAAGAACTTGTCAGAATGTGAGACATTCTTCCAATGTAAACTTTTAGAACAATAATAAAAGGTCAGATTAGAGAAAGGTTCTTTATTCTGGAGAAATGTTGGAATTCATAAATGGGGAAGATTATAGTAATATGAAAGTTGAATATGGTGTAATATTTTTCTACCTAGAATAAAACATGTCTTCTTTATAGTTCTCTGCAATTTATGCACCGTTTTCATATTGTTATGTTTTATTATCATACATATAAATGCTATAAGGTAAGAATTACCATTTTGTAGCTAAGGGATGTTAGCTATACAACTAGCAAGATATCAGGATCCCAGCCTCTAGTTTAGTTGTCTCCTTCACTCCACCCTGGGTCAAGCATGGATTCATGATCCCTAGTTCTGCTAATGGGTACACAGTGCTCATAAGCTCAGTCCGTGCATGCACCAACGTGAGAACTCAGCTTGCTCACTCGCTCACTCATGCACCGTTGAGTGGTGAGAAGCTGCACAACCCTTTCCAGAAAGACGAAATGAAGCTGACCGGTATATGTCAGGATTTGGCTAAGCCCTTCTTTCATGTCTCCAAGTAATGTACTTTGGAAATAAAACCATACCCATAAGCTTCTGAAATAATGAGTTCCTTTCTTCCTTATTTGCATGCAGAACTGTCTGAACGGTCATGACCTACAAAGGAAGACCTACAGACAAACATGTATAGCGAGGCCCAGGGGTCATGCTGTTGCTCTTTAATGCTGATGACTGTGTTCTGCTTCAGGAGAAAGTGGCCAGTAGCTTGTGGATATCCAGAGGGCAAGGAGACTACAGTTACCACCCTATGATCTTAGTAAGTATTAGGAGGCACAGCTTGAAAGTTACCTTATTCTTATCTAAATTTTTATTTTTTTAATCAGATGAACAACATTATGGATTTTTCAATACAACATCATGTTTTAGAATACATGTGCATTATAAAAGACAAATCCAGTTAATGGTCACATGAGCTAGAGTTGATTTTTTTGTGTCAATAGTACTTAATGTCCACTCTCTTTATTTTTAAGAATATAATCCATCACCATTAACTATAGTCACCTTGCTCTACAATTCCTATCTAACAGTAATTAAGTATCTTTTATTCATCTCTTTAAACTTAAATTGAACTACAACATTAATCAATGCGTTTGAAAAGGAATAGCATTCTTGTATTATTACATGATGATTCAGTATAGGAATGACTTAACATTTATATGGTATGGTAATTCACTTAAAGTTTTAGGGTCAAAACTGCCTTGACTCTTACCTTCATGACCCTTTATTTTATTATGTACTCAGGGCATGTTCAAGTGTTCTCACAAGAAAAGAATTAGAGAGAAAGAGAGAGATGTAAAATTTAATAGGTTTCAACCCTAGCACTACTCCCACTTACTCTTACATTCATTAATTTCTTCTCATAAACTGACTCCCTCATTTTTTTTACATGTAAGATAAAGGAAAGGTATTTAATCTTTTATCCACAGGATTTTAATCCAAAAACCTTTTCCATTGTACTTTCCAAAGATTATAACTTTTGCATTGCTTCTGCATTCTGACAAGATGCTCAATCTATACAGAATTTGCTCTTCTGAACAGCTTATTTCATGAAACCATTAAATGTACATACGGAAAAAAAAGCTTTTTGCTTTTTCTGATAGACTGTTCTGAAGGAAGCCATATGCTCCTGAAACTTAATCATCAATCACATTTTAGAAAAGCAATGCAGAATTACATAAGTAATTTTTCCTAGAGAATTGTCTAACTGATAATATTTAGAATATTCAAAAGTGCTAAAAGTTTTCCATTAATAACAACTAGTGCACAGTATATTCATGCTGCACATTAGCAGTGGGGCTTAGAAAAGAGTACTCTTTATTGAATGGTATCAATCTTTGGGGCCTTTAAAATAATGATCTCATTCAATCTTCATAGCAGACCTTAGAAGTTAGTATCAACTCTTGCTTTTATTTATTCTGCATGCTGATGATTGGATCTATGACCTCATATATACTAAGCAAACTCTTGTGCCAAGTTGAAATCTTCAGTCTTCTTTTCCTTCTCTTGCTTTTTTTTTTCCCGATGGACTCTCACTACGTTGCCCAGGATAGTTTGGACCCATTTGGTAACTCAGTCAAGTCTTGAACTTGTGGCTTTCTCCTCAGCCATCTAAGTAGCTGTGGTCTGGCTATCAATGACAGTTGTAGCAAGGACATTCATGAAGCAGGACCAGCATTTGAATTAGTGTCTGGTTATTCCCACAGCCCAGGTATGTTCTGTTTTTTTTGTTTATGCTACAGCACCATCTTTCTCAGATGCATATAAGACATTTACTTTAAGGTTAGTTCATGGGTCATCACATTATTTATTGAATGATTTCACTTTGCTGGGTCCTTTAAAGTAATGGTTCAATTTACATTAGTCTCCTAGAAGTTAGGTTACACCAACTAACTCAAGGAAAATAATTTTTAATACCTGAAAACGTTTTCTTAAAAAAGCAACATCATTTAATGTTTTACAAGGTCTTAGAGTTGCATATTACCTGCTTTTAAAGGATACTAAAATGCTTTTTAGAATTTTAAAATTTTATAATTTTTTTGTAACTTCTTAGATGAATATTTTCCTCTGGCTTTACTTTATCATTTTAAAAGTAAATCACAGGCTACATAATAAGCTGTAATGAACATTAAATTTAAATTTGTAGTTAAAAATAATTTCTTGGTATTTAAGAAATAAAAAGGATAAAGAGCTTCATGCCTAGCTCTAGCAGTGACTTGTCAAATGCCACTGGAAAGAAAAATGCCTATCTTAATCCTAAGACCAAGGGCAACTGCCTTTCTAAAGTGTGTAGAATTCTACAAGGTTGCATGACTTTCTTGGGATTCAAATTGTGCTGGCCCATTATCAGCTACTACGACAAAAGAATTGGAAGGCTTCAGTTACAAAATGAGGTTTATTTGGGTTCATGGTTCTGGAGGTTCCAGTCCAACATAGACTGTCCCATTGTGTTTGCTCTGATGAGACGTGTCATGATAGAGTGTGTGGTAAGCAAATATCTCACTTAAGAGTCTGAAAGCAAAGGGGTAGAGATCCAGCAGTGTTCTACAATCCTCTTCTAAGTTGTGCCCCAATGAGTGGAGCGTTTCCTGAGGCCAAGCCTCTTAATGGTTTTCCCTAATTCTCCATAGGTGTCTCTCTGAGAATCAACCTTTTGATACATGGACTGTAGATGGTTTCAGTATCCAAACGATCAAACACGTTTTTGTTTAAAATGATTCACACATTTCCCAAATCAAGGACTATTATGCTGACATTAATTTCATAATGCTCCTTAAATTTCATGTCCTTTCAGAAATAAAACTTTTGATGTTGCTGTGACAAAATCAGCCTTATTTTGAGTGAATAATTGGACCACAGAACATAGCAATATTAGCCAGGACATTTCTGCATTAAGATAAGTGAAAATCATTATAAAACAATTTAAACGGCTTATCTGAATTTAATATATTGGTCTTTCTCTTCACTTACATTGGAGACTTGTTGCTAACTTTGTTCTTCAAATGTCCATCTCAATGTCTTTGATCTTGTGGACCTGTCTCCTGGAGTCAGGACTTTCTAAGGATCCATGTTGCCCTCTCACATTTGACTTTCAAATCCACCACTGTGTCTCTCCTTCACAATTCTCCACTGTGTCTCTCCTGTCCCAGTCACTCTGCTATACCATTCTATATCATTTATTTTGTAGTCTCTGTAGCATTAGAAATTGTTTCTGGTCACATTCTGAAATCAGCAGATTTACTTCAATCTCAGATTTTGGAGCCTGCTTGGCTTCAGACTATTGATACTCAGCTCATACCTGAGAAAATGCTCTAAAAATTGGAAACCTCCAAAACCTAAATCTTTTTGTTTCCACCCCTTCTCAGTCTTTCCTTCATTTACTGGCCTAGTGTCTGCAATGATCACCTAAAGAGAATCTCTGTAAGGCCAGGACCTTGGCCAGTAGTGTTTCACCGCCATGTTCTCTCCCTTTAGCTTCTGGCAAAAAAATGGTGTTCAATATTGGTAGACAAAACAAATGAAAGGTTCCTTTAAACCTCAGTTATTTTATTTTAATAAAGAATTCAACGGGCAAGCTGTTCATAGGGCTGTCTGATCTAAACTCTGGGGTGTGCAGAGAGTGGATATGTGAGCATGGGAATGAGCTTTGTTGAAGGTGAACTCATGAGCACATTTGGACTAAGCAGAAAGAACCTTCCCCTCACACTTCTATTAATGGGAGGGTGAAGTGACCAACTGCCTCTGTCAGTCATTTCTGGGAGTGTGAGAACTTCGGTTCTTAGAAGTGTCAAATACTTTGACACTTTGAGTGTCAAAAATTTTTTTTGCACAGCAATTTTAATTTTTATAAAGTTCAACTTGACATTTTTGTGTGTGTGTGAACTTGTTTTTTTTAAATTTATTTTTCAGTTTAAATTTAGATAAGAAACAAGGTTGCTTCACAAGTCAGTTCCAGGTCCCTCTCCCTTTCCCTTCCCTCCTCCTGTGCCCTCCTCCCAAGCCCCCATTATCTCCTCATTTCCCCAGGGAGGGTGAGGCCCTCCATGGGGGTGTCCATAGTCTGTCATTTCACACAGGGCAGGGCCTAGACCCTCCCCCAAGAGTTCAGGGTGAGAGTGCATCTCACACTGTTGGATGGGAGTCCAAGAGTGTCAAAATTTAAGTCTTCAATTATAGTTTGAATTTTTATCCTGCTGAATTGAAAAAACTCCATGATTCTTAAGGTTCCTGGTGCTATGACTAGTAAGACAATTTTTAAAGATCCCACCCCGCTGCACACACATGTATCTTAGAGCATAGCACTTTTGAGGGCAACTTTTAAATATGGCAATGAATTTTTAAAAATCAGTGACCAACTCAGCTCTACAAAAGTACTTTAATCCACAGCCTTAAGGAGTTAATAGTATCTTGTAATTTCGTGTGCATGAAAACTTTAAAACTTAAATATGTTTAGTTACTGTCATGTTCACTAAAATAACACAACTGGAAGGCCCTCTGAGAAGAGAATTTATAATAATTTAAGATAATAACCAGAAATTTCTTCTTTGCTAACTCCTCATATTTATCTTTAAAGCTGAGAAGTATCATTTGTATCTTATCTTCTATAGCTGATTAGGGAATTAATACGCCCTCCAACCAAATAACATAAATAAGCAATATTTTCACAGCAAAACAAGATATGTGCAATGCTTCATAAGCCATAAAATATATTTAAACCACCAAATGAAGCTTTGAGAAGTTTAACTTTAACTCTCAGGCAAGAGGTGAAGTGATTGCATGTGACCTCAAATCCAAACAATTACACAACAGATTTGCTTACCACCGCTTAAACTAAATGGCACAAGCTAATCTAAAAGGAGATAAGCTTTCAAGTGTAAATATAAGGAAGGCGAAGGCCATTTTTGTCAGTGATTTCTGTCATAAAGTCTTTCATGTACCTCTTTGGGGTTTCTATCTCAGATCATCTTGAGATTAAAAGAAAAAAGTTCTGCTGTCCCCCATTACCTTTATTAGCTCCTGAACTCTTCTGTCTTATCATAATGGACTACTATAGTACATTTGGAATTAAATTTATCTTTTCTTAAATCCCTTGTTTCTTAATGTATAGTTTGCAGAAGACATGGTGGTGATAAAAAAGTGCTCACGTGTGAGTGGTATTCGTTCATTACTTTTATGAAAAGACAGTAGCTAGATTGAGTGATTAACAAATATCAAGTGTGTTTCATAAGCATTGGTAGCTCATTAGCTGTATCTGGGAACTATGTGAACAATCCCCCCATCTATTTTCCAAGAGATATATTTAAGTAAAAGCAAGTTTCTGACAAAATTCCTCACTGGACATACATATATTATTATCAAGCAGGTAAATAGAATACACACCAATATTTGTGTACAAATACATATAGTTTAAATGCAAATTTTCCATATGTCAAGAGCCACAGAGTATCTAACAAAAACCCCAACACCAGGCATTAGAAGCTTCCCTTTGAGTTACTGGTCATAGTTATCCAAGAGACTCTGAAAACATTATAGGCAATTGATGTTGCCTTTGTTTGCCTCCCAGAGGTGAAAGGTTAAGTCCCTATTGCTGAAGACACCAAGAACTTTGGACATAGGACCCATTGGACCTGAGCTGGATCTGATCTAAAAGCTCCTCACTGGGGGCTAGCTTTCATGGTATCAGAAGTAAAACAATCCATACTTCTACCCAGCTGTGGTGCTTACGAACCACAGCAACAATCAGCATGGCACGCACACCTTAATGTTAGCCAACAGCTCTTTTTTTATCATTTTTTATTTTAATTTTAAATAGCTTGTTTTACATGTCAATCCCAGTTCCCTCTCCCTCCCCTCCTCCCGCACTCCCCTTCCCCCCCCCTCCCACCCTATTGCCAAATCCTTCCCCATAGGGGATATCTAGAGTCTGTCATTTTACTCTTGGTAGGGTCAAGGCACTCCCCTAAGAGTCCAGGCTGAGAAAGCATCTCTCTTTGTGCTATAGGCACATGAAGACAGTTTGTATACCAGGGATAGACACTGATCCACAGCTCAGGGCCCCATAGGTTGCCCAGGCCTTCTCACTGACACTCACATTTGGGGGGGTCCAGATCAGTCCCATGCTGGCCTCCCCACTGTCGGTCTGGGGTCCAAGAGCACTCCCCTGTTCAGATCAGCTGTCTCTGCTGGTTTTGCCAGCCCATTCTTTGCCAATTTGCTCATCACTCCTCTCTCTCTGTCACTGGGTTCCTTGGGTTCAGTTCAGTGCTTAGTTGTGTGTTTGCCTCTGCTTCCATCAGTCACAGGATGAAGGCTCCCGGATGGTTATAGACATCAAGTTCATTATCAGGAATGGGCATTCGAGGTGGTCCCTCCACTATTGCTTAGCTTGCCAATTGATGTTATACCTTTAGATCACTCGAGGTCACTCTGGTGCCTGATCTGTATTCGATCCTATGATTCCCTCTTCCCCCTATTCTACCCTGCCAACAGCTCTTTTATTGGATATAAAGCCAACTCAAAAGGATGGAAATTGGGACTGATATTGGAAACTTGGCAAGCTACCTAGGGTTAGTAAAGTGATGGGTATTGGAAGAGAACTGACAACCTCACTTTAATATACCAGCATAATCCCTAACTAGATTCCCCATATTTATCCTTATACCCACAGGTATGTATGACTTTCACCCCCATCAAGGAAACTTCTACTTGCAACAAATGGAGGCCATTATAGAAGATTACAATGGATCAAAACACATTGGTTATATCTACAACAAATGGGTCATTTTGAAAGAGGGGAGAGAACGACTGCTGTGAGATTGTGTCTCTTTGAGATGTCAGAGAAGTTACACCTATGAAGTCTCACTAAAGGCACTGCCCAAGCAAAAACTTGAGCAAGGATAATACCAATAAACATGCTAATTGTATAATCTTCTGAAATTTTAAATGTGAATGCAACCTAACAAGCTGCTTAAAGCTACTGCTGCTTCTACTTCCCTGTTGTGATATAATTTAATCCTTCATCAGTGGTTCAGAAAAATATTTCTCCCTTTAAAAAGAGTGAGAATGGAATGATTACAAGTGCTTTTCAGGAAAGAAATTTTCTTTTATGCAGTCCCATGAAAGGAAGCTTTGAGTCACTGTAGCTTTACTTGTATGACCTTATTTGCTATTTTTAAGTATTCTGTATAGTGAAAGAGCAAATATCAGTATTTTCATTTCAAAATGAAGGAAGAACCCTTCTTAGTTGAGAGATTAACTACTTGTTAAATGTGGGCTATACACATCAGACTTAGAATCTCATCTTCACACTATGTCAAGAATTCTTTTCATCATCATGAGATACTGAAAAAAATTAACATAAACAACCTTTCTTCCATTACAGTTATTTCATTATCACCAAAGAGTTTGTTTAAACAAGGAGCTACCTCAGAATGCTCACTGTACTTCCCTCATGAATAGGTCACACAGACTCTTGTCCCCTCTTTGGAGCCTGGTGTCCTTCCTGGTCCTGTCTGTGAATATGAGTCCTCCTCTCCCGCAAAGGAGCCTACACTGTACCCAGACCCAGAGAGCCAATCTGTTGCTTGCTTTTCTACCCAGGTTCCCTCAAATGCTCACACTGCCTGTGATTTTTGTGTAGAAACCAAGCACAACCAGATTCCCAGGGTAGCTTGAGAGGACATTTTTCTACTGTTCCACAACATTTTCTTTAGTTCTTCCAGGTCTAATGGTGAGGTGAAGGACAGATACTTCCCCTTCTGCTTCTTGGACAGGTGGTTAAAACACCACTACGTTTATATTTGAGTCATTACCGAAGACAGCAGGAAAGATTTCCCTTCCCATAGCTGACAGCAAAGTAAACAAGTTTAAATGAATGACCTTTCTGAGCCTGCTTTCCTTAGGTAAAAGTTTACTTGAAGGAAATAATTTAGTTGATAATGTGTGTCTCTTATTTTGAACTTCCTGTTTTCCTTTCAGTTTTTTTTGTAAGCTGTTCTAGACAAAGGAACATGTATAGCATCTATATTTTACTTCGAAACAGACTTAAATATTGGTTTCAGCAAGGAATGCTTGGAACTCTCTTATATGTGTGAATCCTCTGTGCAGAGAGCAAACGCTGTTTCCTTCTTCTTTTATGGAGTCATATGTTCCGAATAAGCCATGTAGGCAAGAGTTCTCAAACGTGACTTG